TGGTTGGGGAAGACTTAACCAAGAAGGTGACATGGAAGAGTTCGGGTGTCACGTAACTGATTCACTCATTCAATACAGTCAATGGCATTTATTGAGCACTTACTATGTGTGAGGCATGATTCTAGGTACTGGGGATAGACTGATGACGAGACAAAGTTCTTTCTTCCATGGAGATTGTATTTTTGCTGGGGAGACAGATAATAAACAAGAAATCAAGCAGGATAATGTCCATTAGTGATTCTTTGCAGCAAAGGAAATAAACCAAGATAACGTGTTGCAGAGAGGTGGGGGAGAAGTGGCTAGGTCGGACAGAGAATTTGGCAAAGGCCACTCTAAGTGACAACGGGTGGAGTGAAGGGAGCCTGCTTTGCAAAGGTCTGGGGAAAAGCATTCGAAGCCAAGGGAACAGCAAGGGCAAAAGCCGTGAGGTGATAACAAGCTAGGTCATGGTGCTGAGCATCAGGGGTGATGCCTTGGTTCGTGGAACAGAACAAAGCACATTCAGGAGGTAAAACCATGGCCAAAGGTCAGGCCCAGGCAAAACTGTGAAACAAAATGTTCGCAGTGACTTCCTTTTCCTTCTCTCTAGACACCCCTTCCTCCCCTACATGTCCTTCCTTGGCCTCATTTAATCCCCAAGCTCTTTCTCTTTCAAACTTCCTCTCAGAAAAAGATGTGATAGCTTGTACATACTGAAAAATGATAAGGCTAAAAAGCTATTATTCCTCCTAAGGGTATTTATACTTCAACTACAATGGTTTAATTATGAAATTTGATTTAATTATGAAATTATGAATTTGATCAGCTGTTTGGGTGTTGGAGTATTTGATTGTTGTGGGAGTATATTAATTTCCTATGGATGCAGTAACAGATTACCGCAAATTTCGTGGCCTAAAACAACACAAATTTATTATCTTAGAGTTCTGGGGATCAGAAGTCCAAAATGAGTTGGCAGGGTTATGATCTTTTGGGGAGCTTTGGGGGAGAATCTGTTTTCCTTTTCCAGATCCAAGAAGCTGCCCATGTTCTTTGCCCTGGGGCCCTGTGTCACTTGAACCTCTGCTTCAATTGTCCTGTCTCCGTCTCTGACTGACTTTCCTGCCTCCCTCTCCTAAGACCCCTGTGATTACATTGAGCCCACTCGGATAATCCAGGATATACCCCTATCTCAAGATCCTTCACTTACTCACACCAGCAAAGACCCTTCTGCCATATCAGGCAGCATATTCTCAGGTTCCAGGGAATGAGAATGGGGACATCTTTGGGGGCTATTATTCTATTTACCACAGGGAGTGATATTCTGGAGTTTGTGAAATTAGTCCACCAGATAGCGCCCTACTTCCGGGTTGTTTCTGCTCCTTACTTTTGTTGGAATTGTGGGAATGAAATGGTTCTGTAGTCTTTCTGAAGGGCAGCTGCTCAAGACAACTGAGTAATTTTCCTTAGTCCAAGTTGGTAAAGCCAGATAAGATGGAATCTCATTGCACTTGTATTTCTGAACACACTGTTTACCCATAAGGTTAATTTGAATGGTAGCTTCTGGAATCGGGTTTCTAACACTGCAGTTTCTGACCTCTCGGGAATTTGAATAGCAAAGGTCTATGGAAGCAGAAATAGTAGGGGGGTCTGAGTCAAGGACCTAAAAGAATGGACATTATCGTTTACCAGAAAGGCTCTATGATGTAATGAGTGCTACATGTGGAGCCCAATGAGTTGTTTTTGCTTCCTGGTGTTTTTTTTTTTTTTTTAATTAATTTATTTATTTTTATATTTATTTTTGGCTGCGTTGGGTCTTCGTTTCTGTGCGAGGGCTTTCTCTAGTTGCGGAGAGCGGGGGCCACTCTTCATCGTGGTGCGCGGGCCTCTCACTGTCACAGCCTCTCTTGTTGAAGAGCACAGGCTCCAGACGCGCAGGCTCAGCGGCCATGGCTCACGGGCCCAGTTGCTCCGCGGCATGTGGGATCTTCCCAGACCAGGGCTCGAACCCGTGTCCCCTGCATTGGCAGGCAGATCCTCAACCACTGCGCCACCAGGGAAGCCCTGCTTCCTGGTGTTTGAGGGAGCAGTCCTGTTCCTGAACTTCCCAGCACAGGGGTCTTTGAGCCCTGTGGATTAACCTATGGTCTCTCTGAACTGCTTTGTTTCCCATCTCTCAAAGACTGGCGCCTTGGGGGAAATGATGCAGATCAGTATTTTAATTAGCACCTGTGTTTCATAAGCCAAGCTCTGTCATCAGTTCCTACTTAGAAGGGCTTGTTGTTTGGATTTTTCCCATACGTAGCTTTGACCCACTACCATTTCCTCCTTCAAATTTCTTTCTCAGCTACTTGCTACATTAGGATCTTTTCTATACTCATCTTTCCTATTCTACTTACTGAGTTAGATTCTTTTCTTTTGATGGTCAATTTTCCAAAGGTCCGTGTCTTATTGATTTAGCAGGTGTAAGTTCACTTCCACCATCCCCTGTCTACTTCTGTAGTTTTTGATGTGCCTATAGTCAATATTTGTTGATAAACAAAAAAGATGAATTTAGCAGGTGCTCATGTTTGCTATAATTCCCTAAACAATGGTTTACAAAGATTTAAAAATTATGTTGACTTTAATTTTCATTGTTACATTGCATTAAATCAAAGTTAGACTTTGGAAGAATATGAGTTCTTCTACACTTAATTATTCAAAAAGATATTTTTGAGGGGGATTTATGTTGTTGACTTTAAATGAACATTATCTGAACTGGAACAGCAGGCGGAACAGTTCAGTGAGAGCCTGAATCAAGGAATTGAAAGGATGGCTCTGGCAGGAGAGAGTCTTAGGCTCCAGTTTGGCGCTGTCTCTACCACCTGTATGATCTTATGAGTAAGTCAGGCAGCCCTGCCAAGCCTCGGTTTCCTCCTCTGTTAAACTGGGATTTTTAAGAGTGGGATTCTTTCATAAGGTTGTGAGAAATAACCTGTTGTAAGTCAAGGGCTTAATACATAGCAGCCAGGCAATCGATACTTGTTGAATAAACATCTCATGGTCAGAGTTCTTGTAATTTTAGCTATGATGTCGAGGGTCTGTAGACACAGGAGTCAAAGCATTTACTTACGGGCTCTTATAGTTGGATAACACGAGTCCAATGTCTCTATGCAAGGGCAGCGTGGGTCATGTTTGTTTCAACCCATCAGAGGTAATAAGTTCTCTGCCATGCGTCACGCTGCTGCTGAGCTGTGCCCTAGGTGTCATAAAAAGTTCTAAGTATACATCTGTCATGTGTGGAATAAAATATTTAAAACCATCGTTTTCTTTTTAAAAGTTATTTATTTTCCTTGTTTTCTTGGCTGTGTCAGGTCGTATTTGCGGTACACGGGATCTTCGTCAAGGTGTGTGGGATCTTTTGTCGTGGCGCTCTGGCTTCTAGTTGTGGAGTGCGGCTTTATCTTTCTAGTTGTGGCGCGAGGGCTCCAGGGCGCATGGGCTCTCTCGTTGAGGAGTGCGAGCTCAGCAGTTGTGGTGCGGGGGCTTCGTTGCCCCGCAGCATGCGGGATCTTAGTTCCCCGGGACCAGGGATTGTCCCCTGCATTGGAAGGCGGATTCTTTACCACTGGACCACCAGGGAAGGCCCTTAAAACCATGGTTTAAAACTGAAACAGATACTGTGGTTGCTTGCCATTAACAAGGGTCGTGGGTTTGCTAAGCCAGTGTAACAAATTCTGGAAGAAAGTATCCCCAAAGACCTTCTCACTAGAACTGAAATTAAGAGTGTCTTAATTTCTGCCTTTAAAAAGTGACTCCGGAGCCATCTGTAAGGAGCAGAGCAGTAACAGGCTGCATGCAACAATCTTGTCTCCTAGATTACTTCTGGACCTCCCCCACGTCAGCACCGGCTGTTTACCATTTCAACTCCCTGAATCCCTACATTTTAAGAATTTGGACCTTTGTGGGAATTCCCTGGCCGTCCAATGGTTAGGACTCTGCGCTTGCACTGCGGAGCCAGGGGGTTCAACCCCTGGTGGGGGAACTAAGATTCTGCCAACCGGGTCGCAACAAAACAAGAATGTGGAGCTCTGAAGGAGAGCCCAACTGTTCCTCTTCCACAAGATGTAGCAGCTATCAGGAGGGGATGAAGCATCGCTAGACCTTTGCTCCACTCCACTGGGGGGAAAGCTCTGACGTACATATTTCCTTCATGAGCCTGGACCCCTTCCACCTGGCCTCGGTTCGGGGTTGGCTCTTAAGAGCTCCCGGGACCTCACCGTTCTTGCCGGTTTTTTTTTTTGCGGTGCGCGGGCCTCTCACTGTTGTGGCCTCTCCCGTTGCGGAGCACAGGCTCCGGACGCGCAGGCTCAGCGGCCATGGCTCACGGGCCTAGCCGCTCTGCGGCACGTGGGATCTTCCCGCACCGGGGCACGAACTCATGTCCCCTGCATCGGCAGGCGGACTCTCAACCACTGCGCCACCAGGGAAGCTCTCTTGCCCGTTTTTAAGTCAACTATGGCCCCCTTCCCAAGTCGCTGCTTCTTGGCCGGCCCTCCCCCAGCGCCTGTAACCGCCTGCTCCAGGACCACCCGGGCTCGCATTTGGGGGAAAGTGGGTCATCCAGCAATGGCAATACAAACCCAATTAATTCATCCAGAGACTGACAGAAGGACAAGGAGCGCGCGAGCAAGGTACCACTACCCGGGTCCCTGCCGGCTCTACCTCGCTGCCCCGCCCCACAGCTTGCAGGGGGCGGGTAGGAAGGCTGATCCCGGGCTCCGCCCCCCGGCCTCGGCCCCCCGGCCTCGCGCCGGCGGGCGGAAGTGACGTACGCCCGAAGCCATTTCCGGCGGGCCGAAACTAGGAAGAAACTTGGAGCCGCAGAGGCGTCCGGTCCCCTGTCTCCTCTGCTCCCGTGCCCCGTGGCCCGGGCCGCACCGAGCTGTCGGGAGCCCAGGCCATGGGGCAGCTCGGGCCGTCCGCAGTGTGAGGCGTGGGGCCTCCCGCGGCCTCCTCGGACGGGCTACCGGCGGGCAGGCGGGAGGCGTCGTTCCAGCTGCGGTCCTGGCCGCCGCCGCCCTCCCGGGCTCCCGGCGTCATGAACATAGACGTGGAGTTCCACATCCGGCACAACTATCCCTGGAGCAAGCTGCCGGCCAACGTGAGGCAGGTATGGAACCTGGGGCCGGGGTCCCGCCCCTCCGTCACCTGCTCGCCGAGCCCGCGGGGCCGAGGCTGGCGCCTCTGGGCTGGCTCCCGGCCTTCCCCCGCCTAGGGTCTTGAGATAACCTACCCGCAGCCCGCGGGTGAGGAGGGGACGGTCCTGGGGCCACAGGGGCAGGATGGGGCCGTTTCGAAATGGGATGGAATGGTGTCCAGTGGACTCGCTTGGCGCCTTCGCACGCAGACTCCCTTCAACCGGGCACTGCGCTAGGCACCTTCGAAACAAATTTAAAACACGACTCTTGACCTCCAGAACTGCGGGATGGTGGGAAAGGGACGAGAAACAAATGAATCCGTTACAGGCTGATAGCAGCTCACACGAACCTGCACGATAGTATATGCGAGCGCGCAGAGGAGGGCGTCAGAAACCGTCCAGGGAGTGTCAGGACGTTGTGTAGGGGAGGCATTTAAATTGGGCCTTAAAGGACGAATAAGAGATAAGAGGGATTCAAGATTTTTCCAGCGAGAGGGAAAGTCATTTTAAGAAGCTTGGACGAGTGAAAGCGTGCTTTGAGAGTAGTGAGAGACCTCCTCCATCACCGGAATCCGGAGGTGTAGGTGTATTGGTGTGTTTGGCGGTGGGGCTTGGTGAGTGCGTGGGGAGTGGTAGCGGTCAGGGCCGGATTTTGAAGGGCTTTCGGACTTTGTTTTGTTGGACTTGAGTCTGTCAACAAGATGAGTTTATTAGAGATGTTGCAACAGTAGAGCGACAGGAGGTTTTTGTCCGAGAGGTAGTTCTCAAATGCTTGAGTGTTATTTTTACTGAGTTGTTTTACAGGTATTTATTGAACACCTACTGTGTGCTATGCCTTGTTTTAGGTGCGGGTTATTTGCAACAGTCAACACAGAAAGCCCTGTCTTCATGGAGCTTACGTTTTAGTAAAGAAAGACAGTTAACAAATAAGTGAATAAATACATAATATGGTGGGCGGTGGTAAAGATTATGAAGAAGTGATATGTGCTGTATAGAAGGCACTTTTTCTCTCTGGTCATAGATGGACCTTCAAGTTCCCGCCATCTTGCTTGGTTGAGAGTGAAATTCTGTTTTCCATTGGTGCTGGACACTGGCATATTTGGAAAGTTTGGTTTGTTGTTGGTGGTGATGGTATAAGAATTATTACTTTGCCTCCTTTCCCAGCTTGGGGTCTTAGTTCCAGGAAATGAATAATTTAAGGTTCTGGCGGTGCATCGTGTGGCAGAGAAAACGCTTTCACTTCAAGATACCCAAAATACAAGGAAGTGGAAAGGTAAATTTAAGGAACTCAGAATTCTTGGGTGGCAGTGGCTGCCCATGTGACGTTAATCTTGAATGGGAGGAGGAAAGCTCTAGACCTGAAAGACTAAGTTTCTCTTGTTAAGCTGGAATGAGGGCTTTGATGGGCACTTTTTGTTTTTAGGGTTTTGTGGCATATGGCAAGACAGCTGGAAGAACCAACAATCCTTTGTTTCCATGTTTTCTCTGCTCTTCGTTTCACAAAAATAAATGTAACATAATAGAAGAAAGATGGATGATTCAGTTATGTCCAACAGAAATAATTGATCTTAATTAGTATTGGGAAAAGGCTTTTTTTTTTTTGCATTTTAGAATTTTATTTTATTTATTTTTTTATACAGCAGGTTCTTATTATCTGTTTTGTACATATGGCAAAAACCTTTCCAAACATTAGTCATGACTATTAAAAATAATCTCAGAACAGTGTTATACTTAAGCACAAGCATGACATTAAATTAAAACTTTTTGGTGAGATCACTTACAAGAATTGGTGTTTTAGCTTAGGATAAGCTTCCGCTTGTAGAAGGTGTTGCAGAACCCATCTGTGCAAGTTACTTCATGGATTTTCTCTAGCCTTGCTCTTTTTCCCTAGGTCTACCTTAGATTAGTACATCAGCTTTCTGTCTGGTGTCTAGCACTCAGAAAAGTACCTTCCTATCCATTCTTCATACTATACTGTGGTGAGGTTTCTAAAATGCAAAGCCAGTCCTATTTCTATTTGTCTCCATAGATTACATGTTGCTTCATTTTGAATTGAGATGTTAACTCCTCTAGAAAGGTTTTCCTGACCTATCTCTGGAGTAGTTCACCCTCAGGTGTGCTGCCCCAGCACTGTATTTCTCACCCATAGCACTTACCCCACTATGTTGTATTTTCTGGTTACATCACTTGTTTTTGCTTTTGTATTTTGAGCACCTATCTCTCGTAGTTGGCTTTTAGTAAATACTTTTGCAGTGAATGAGTGATAGTATCAGTCTGAGATTTTTTTCCAGGAGCTAAAGCTTAGTCCGTTTAAAAGTGGGGAATAGTCCTTGTGTGGAAAGAATTTGGTTTTTGGTGTTACAGATACTAAGTACTTTGATAAGAGCTTCTGGTAAGTTTTGATGAGTTTAATTTGAAAGTGACTCATATTTCCCAGTTTTGAAAGCTGGTGGAAGGTGATTTAGATTTTTTTTTTTTTCTTTTTTGCGGTATGTGGGCCTCTCACTGCTGCGGCCCCTCCCACCGCGGAGCACAGGCTCCGGACGAGCAGGCCCAGCGGCCATAGCTCACGGGCCCAGCCGCTCCACGGCACGTGGGATCCTCCCAGACCGGGACACGAACCCGTATCCCCCGCATCGGCAGGCGGACTCTCAACCACTGCACCACCAGGGAAGCCCTAGATTTTTTTTAATGTATTTTTTTAAAAAATGTATTTGAAAAAATAGTTTTTATATAAATGAGATGAAATTTTTTTACATGGTGTGAGCTATACTAGACTTTCAGAAATACATTAAAAAGTTATGGATCAGGCCATTATTTCAGGATCTTTCTATGTAGTTTACCAGTGTTCATTGTTCAAAACAATTCATAGGTGTTTTATTTGAAGGGAAATTGTATGATGAGGTTCCAAGGAGGGTCAATTAAAAAAAACTATTGCGTATTTTGGGGGAGGTGGTGCACATTGGGGTTTGTAGGAGCAAAAGCTTTAGAAAGAATTCTTTATGCTTTTAGCATCATCTGATCCACAGTGGGTGTTTTACAGCCGGTTTCTGTGTCACTCCGTCTGTTTTAGTTCCTTTTATCTGCAGCCCAGCTTCATTTGTCAGACCTGGTGGGAATTTCTGCAGGGTCTGCACTGTCTCCCAGTAAAATGACCTTTCTTTTCGTTGCCTCCTGTAGTGGCAGCAGTGTTTTAAAATGTGGATGGTGGGAAATTGGGGTGGGCGTGGAAGAGGAGCCAAAGAATCTTTGTGAACAAAGCAATTATATTTTATGTACAAGGGTAGTGAAGAATAAAATCAGCTGTTAATGCAGTTTTTAGTTATTTGTGTGTCTGCACATGTATCGATCAGGACCAGTCATTACTTAATGACTAGCGCGAAGACTTAGATGTTTAGTAGATACTGTATTCTCTAATTAACTTATAAATAACGGGGGCCTTATATTTTGTGTAAGTGGCTTGATTTACACTTTTTATCCTGGAGCTACTGGGAACAGAATTTTAAAGGGAGAAAACAGTTGTGAATTAGAATAAATTAAGGGACTTATTTTGAAACAGAAGAGTAAATCCTCAAGTTTGGAAGTTGCTGAGATTTTAGCAAATTGTCTGCTGTGTGAGTGAGTGTGTGTGTTCTTTGTTGCTTGAGAAAGAGACTTTTATTTGGCAGTAGAGCTAGAGGAGATCCTTTAAAATTTTACAGAAAGCCTAATATTTTGAATCCCCTAAATATCTTCAGTACTGGCCCTGGTTTTGGTGCTACATAAAAGATAGGAGAGCAGTATCTCTACAATGAACTTTACTCCTAACTTCTTGTAATGTTAAAATGGATGAAAATAATGTCAGCACATAACATTTCAGCAGTAGTGTGGCTTATGGTTCAACCTGTGATAAATCAATTAATCTAGATGCAGGAAGAAAGATTTTTAGTTTTCCCACATTATATCCCTTTTTTCTTAAAATGCTACCCACCAGTAGTTCCAGTTGTGTGCCAGTTTATTTAGATGTGAGTTTCATTTGTTTTGTGAAGATGGCCTTAAGTGAAAGTATGTGCATGGACATTTACCTTGGCTTTCAGAAACCTATGCGTGAGAAGTATAATAACTGAGTCCTCTGTTCCTTCTGTCATTAATCTCTTAAGATGTCTTATTTTATAGTGTGTTGGAAAGATCATAGCTAGTAATTAGAAGGGGGATAGCAGTCACATATTAAATTAAGTTTATGGTCTCACATTGACTATCATGTTAACTATAATCAGACAGACTTATTCTTTGCTTTCATGAGAACCCACTTTTGAACTTAAAACACTAAATTCACAGCTAGAAAGCATTTTGCTCACTAAAAAATATATCGGAAATTCTAAAATTGTCTTAAGTGTTTTCTTATGAGGCCATAAGATGACGTTTTTAAGAAATAATCGTATTTAGAGGTATATTGTAAGTGTATATTCTCCAGGAATCTTAATTTTTAATAATCATAGCCCTTAACTGTAAGTAGTCATCAGACGGGGATCTGTCCTTAGTGGCCATTCTTAAATTTAAATAAATGTAGGTGCAAGAATCCATCCATCTACACAAATTGGAGACGGTCAAGAAGGAAATCTTTTGATGATGGCCATTCTGACCTGTGTGAGATGATATCTCATTGTAGTTTTGATTTGCAATTCTCTAATGATTAATGATGTTGAGCATTCTTTCATGTGCTTGTTGGCAATCTGTATATCTTCTTTGGAGAAATGTCTGCTTAGGTCTTCTGCCCATTTTTGGATTGGGTTGTTTGTTTTTTCGATATTGAGCTGCATGAGCTGCTTGTAAATTTTAGAGGTTAATCCTTTGTCAGTTGCTTCATTTGCAAATATTCTCTCCCATTCTGAGGGTTGTCTTTTCGTCTTGTTTATGGTTTCCTTTGCTGTACAAAAGCTTTTAAGTTTCAATGGGTCCCATTTGTTTATTTTTGTATTTATTTCCATTTCTCTAGGAGGTGGGTCAAAAAGGATCTTGCTGTGATTTATGTCATAGAGTGTTCTGCCTATGTTTGCCTCTTAAGAGTTTGATAGTGTCTGGCCTTACATTTAGGTCTTTAATCCATTTTGAGTTTATTTTTGTGTATGGTGTTAGGGAGTGTTCTAATTTCATCCTTTTACATGTAGCTGTCCAGTTTTCCCAGCACCACTTATTGAAGAGGCTGTCTTTTCTCTACTGTATATTCTTGCCTCCTTTATCAAAGATAAGGTGACCATACGTGCGTGGGTTTATCTCTGGGCTTTCTGTTCTGTTCCATTGATCTATATTTCTGTTTTTGTGCCAGTACCATACTGTCTTGATTACTGTAGCTTTGTAGTATAGTCTGAAGTCAGGGAGCCTGATTCTTCCAGCTCCATTTTTCTTTCTCAGGATTGCTTTGGCTGTACGGGATCTTTTGTGTTTCCATACAAATTGTGAAATTTTTTGTTCTAGTTCTGTGAAAAATTCCAGTGGTTGCATCAAAAAATCTACAAACAATAAATGCTGGAGAGGGTGTGGAGAAGAGGGAACCCTCTTGCACTGTTGGTGGGAATGTAAATGGATACAGCCACTATGGAGAACAGTATGGAGGTTCCTTAAAAAACTAAAAATAGAACTACCATATGACCCAGCAATCCCACTACTGGGCATATACCCCGAGAAAACCATAATTCAAAAAGAGTCATGTACCAAAATGTTCATTGCAGCTCTATTTACAATAGCCAGGACATGGAAGCAACCTAAGTGTCCATCAACAGATGAATGGATAAAGAAGATGTGGCACATATATACAATGGAATATTACTCAGCCATAAAAAGAAACGAAATTGAGTTATTTGTAGTGAGGTGGATGGACCTAGAGTCTGTCATACAGAGTGAAGTAAGTCAGAAAGAGAAAAACAAATA